CACCGAGGACACACAAAAAAGAGGGAGGGAGGGAGGTAGGGGGTAAGGGGGAGAGGGAAAGAAGGAGGTGAGGGAGGGAGGGAGAAGTGAGCACAGGTGTAACAATAAGAATTATCTCACCTGACTCATCGTGGGCAGGTAAGATTCTTCTACACAGGTATTTACAACTAGTCGAGCTCACCTGTGTTGTCCAGCCTGCTGATTAACTCCCTCCTCAGGTGTGCGGGTCTAACTGTAAGATTGATCTCACCTGACTCAACGTGGGCAGGTAAATAGTGCCAGAACTCACCTGTGTCACCCAAACAATGCAATATTTTGTTTTTATGGCGTGAACAGGTGGTAACAGGTTTGGAACGTATGTTATGTTATTTTGAACAGGTGAGATGTGAACTAATACCTGCGAATTAATCTGAACAGGTAGAGAATACATGATACATATCCCTATCTATTGTCTAGAACAGATGGGAAACATAGGATAACATAAGAGGCAAAGACATACGTAGAAATATATTACGAACTTATCTGTATGGCGATTTGAGCAGGTGAGGATTAACATGCCGTCATTTCCTGTTAATTATCATACTAATCCGATTGGTAGTTAAGTATATGTGGTTGATTGGGCTTCGTTCTCAATTTTTTTAGTACAGGTAGATGAAGATATAATTAGGATTTTAAGTTTACGTTCTGTTTGAGGTTAAATTTTACACCTTTTTGACCAAACTAATGGATGCTATTGGGAGGGAGTCATTTTTAACTTTTTTTCTTCTAATTTTTATTGTCTCGAAGCTTCCGGTTTATATTCTCGAGAGGTGTTTATTGATGTTGTTATATACAGGTTATGTAATCGATTTGGTCGACTTAATTCCAGGTCGTGTAATCGATTTTAAACCCACGTGTATAGTAGTTCAATTAGTTGTTTATATTTGCGTGTTTGATGATGATGGTGATGATGATGATGATGATGATGATGATGATGATGACCATAATGATAATAAAGCTAATAATGATGATGATGATAATAATGACCACAATAATAATGACATGATGATGATGATGACGATGATAATGATGACGAAAATAATAATGTTAGTACTATTACCTAAAATAACACAAGAAGTACAAATAATTTTCATTTCTGAATAACTGAACAAGGTGAGGGAGTATAACAAGCGTTCTCCTGTTATGAGTCTGTTATGTTCTAGTTAATGACAGAGAATAAACACGTGTTATTATATGTCTACGTCCAGCTAAAATAACACCAACCAGCTAACGTCCAGTGAAGTAACAGCTCACTGTATAACCTAACCTAACCTTACAATACAACTTATAATCTAACCTAACCTAACCTAACCAAATCTAACCTAACCTAACCTAACCTAACCTAACCTATCCTCACCTCACCTCACCTTACAATACAACTTATAATCTAACCTAACCTAACCTAACCTAACCTAACCTAACCTCACCTCACCTCACCTCACCTCACCTCACCTCACCTAACCTCACCTAACCTCGCAATATAACAAGATCCTACATGATATTTATTTTTAGTTAATGTAGTTTATGTATAAATATTACTTATTCATTTCTCTTTACATTATTTTCCAGGTAGATAATTATAACTACACCTGCGTGCACCAATTACCTCCAATTACGAAGACTGTTGTCGCCAGAGAGAGAGAGAGAGAGAGAGAGTCACAAGCGCCTCCAAATGTATCTTAAAAAAAACCCTCACTGACCTGTCCCAAACATGTTCGCTACACCTGTCCAAACCTCCAAACAATTTCCCCAACATATTTACCTAAACAGATATAAACACACAAACAAACATTCCAAACATACAACTCACAACATATCGCCAATATATTGATGACGTCATAAACCACATGATATGAGTCAATGACGTCATAACACTGCCTCTGTCCCCAACGTCCCCTATATCCTATTAGCTGGTGACGTCATCGTGTAGTGACGTCACGGCATTACACTTAAGTAAATTACGGTTCTATATTAATAATGAGGGGGGGGAGGGAATAACAGGGGTGTGATGACTATTACAGCCTGTACCTGTATGTCATTGTAACGTTTGTATTTCCTGTTATCTCTCTCTCTCTCTCTCTCTCTCTGTAGAGTGTTAAGAGAAGCGTTACAGGTGTGTGTGTGTGTGTGTGTGTGTGTGTGTGTGTGTGTGAGTGTGTTTGTGTGTGGTGAGACAGAAGATTGTTGAGTGTGGCTCTCATGTCCTTGTTTTGTGGTTTTGTTTTCGTTGTGGTTGTCGTCCATCTTGTGGTTTTGGTGTTATTGTTTTAATTCTTGTTGTCGTTGTGGGTTTTTTTTGTCGTGTTTGTTACTCTCAATGTTTTTGTTTTTTCTTGTTATTGTTGTTGATCTTGTTGTTTGTTTGTTTGTTTGCTTGTTTTGTTGTTGTTGTTGTTGACTTTTTGTTGTTGTTGTTTATCATATTATTTTATTATTGTACCCAAAAAGCTTCGATTACAGTAAGCTCACACACACACTCTCACACACACACACACACACACATACACACACACACACACACACACACACTACATCCTTGACCACCGAAGGGTCAAGACGTACCTGGCGCTCCTCTCGGAGCAGCCAGGTCAACTGTTAAGTTGGCCCATACCAACCCCCTCCCCTGAACCCTCCTCCCCACCGGAATATCAACAAGTTCTCGCCAGAAGTTACTATTTCATTTATGAAAGGAATGGAACCAGTGTTAAACAGAGGTGAACAGTGGTGAACAGTGCTTAAGTCAGTGAGAACAACTCAACAGTAACAGTCGTACCCAAGTTAACCTTCACACAGTGAGGTCCCAGGTACCCAGTGATAACGGCCCCCGCGAGACCCAACAACAACCACCGATGTGTTAATCCGTCTACGATAGGAAGGCCTGGGACCAAACCTCACTCATATAACACCATCTGTGAGGGAATTACTACACCAACACCATCTGTGAGGGGACACCATCTGTGAGGGTACACCACGTGAGGACCCTCATAACACCATCTGTGAGGAGTACACCACGTGATCATAACACCATCTGTGAGGGAATTACTACACCACGTGAGGTCCCTCATAACACCATCTGCGAGGGAATTACTACACCACGCCAGGTCCCTCATAACACCATCTGAGGGAACTACTACACCACGTGAGTTCCTCCTAACACCATCTGGGAGGGAGTTACTACACTACGAGTTTGCTGTTCAACACCTACATTAATCTGTATGTTCACTGTATGTTCCTTCACCTTTCTCTAATGAAGGCTTTTGTTAAACCACCAATGTATGTAATAAGTCATTTATGTCCAATGTATATTTTCAGCCTTCGGGCTGCAGAATTTTTTCAATAAACCGTTAATTATTATTATTTATTATTATACACACACACACACACACACAGACACACACACACGCTATTGAACGCTATTACCTGCTAGTGAGGTTAATTAATGATTTAATCACGAGTGTTACCTGAGAGTAGTGACACAAATCACAGTATGTATGTATGTATGTATGTGTGTATGTATGTATGTATGTATGTATGTATGTAAAATCTCATTAACGCTAATTTATCCACGAGTACTTTTGTTATATGTGGAATATCTTAGGATTATAAACCAATTGATAAGAATCTTTTTTTTTTGCATCCTATTATTCATTATCTTCACAGGATAACTGATAACTGATAGCTGATAACTGATAAGGGTAAGTTCATAAAAACGGCTATAGTACTACGTTCAGTCATGCACTATTACCAATGAAATAATATATGGCTAGTTAATATATGGCTAGTTCTATTTTACTGCTATTGACACATCAGTTCATACATTATATAACAACAGGTGAGAGAACATTACTACGCTTGTTATATTCTGTTCTTCTTTCTATATAACTTATTTGATTGTAAAGAACTCGTGTTTCTTAACCTAACCTAACCTGACCTGACCTGACCTGACCTAACTGATGGATGTGTTTCGAGTGGGGGATAATGTGTTTTTGTTTGTTGTTGTTGGTCATTTGGTGGTGTTTGTAGTAGTGGTAGAGGTAGTGGTGGTAGTAGTGGTAGAGGTAGTGGTGGTAGTAGTGGTGATACAGGTGCTGTACAGGTGCACCAACACGCAAGACTGCCAACTTACTGACAGTTGCATACCACCCACAGCTAAGGAACACTTGTGCACCCCCGCCCACATTCGCCATCATCACTACGTGTCTGAGCCGCTGTGTGTGTGTGTGTGCGTGTGTGTAAATAATAATAATATTAATAATTAACGGTTTATTGAAAGAGCTTGGCAGCCAGAAGGCAGAAAATATACAGTTACATATTTGGGGAATGGGTTTCGAATTACAAATAATATACAAGTAACATAAGTGATACAAGTAAGATATTGTGTGTGTATGTGTGTGTGCGTGTGTGTGTGTGTGTCATGCTGTTGATGTGAGCTACAGTATATTTTGATATTTAATAATTGTGAGTATATTTTATCTATTTGTTTGTCTCTGTAAACACGCACCTGTACTCTCTCTCTCTCTCTCTCTCTCTCTCTCTCTCTCCAGGTGCGAATCTTATGATTTCTAAAGTGAAGTACTTCAAGAAGATACTGAGATACGTTCAGCAACCCCCTGTAAACCCCCTGTCAATCTCCTGTCATTCCCCCTGACAACTCCCTATGTGCAGTACCTATCACCATCTTCTCATCTACCTAAACAAAATCAGTATAACAGTATACTATATCCACACCGCCTCTAACAGAACTTGTTTTTTTTAATATGACGTCAAAAAAAGTAATATAGCTTTATACAATATAGTTTGATCATATGGCAAAGTTTTAAGAGTTTTACGCTCAGTTGGTCTTCACGTGTTGTTGATGACGTGAGGAGGAAGTTTATGTCTTAGTAATGACGAGAAAGAGCGTGAAGGATCTGTTCTTCTTGGAGTTGTGTACACATTCCTGCGTCATTATCTGATGGTTTGGTGTATTAAAGGCAGGAAGAGAGAGAGAGAGAGAAAGAAACAGGGAGATACGGAGAAACAGGGAGAGACAGAGAGACAGAGACAGACAGAGAGACAGGGAGGCACAGGAAGACACACAGAGACAAAAAGAGACAGGAAAATCGAAAAAATGAGACAGAAACAACAAAACAAACATAACATCATTGCACATTATCTCTCTCTTGTCCCGGAGATAAACAGATGAAAACTTAAACTAACCTCACCTCACCTAACCTCACCTAACCTCACCTCACCTCACCTAACCTCTCCTCAACCTAACCTAACCTCACCTAACCTCACCTAACCTAACCTCACCTCACCTCAACCTAACCTCAACCTCAACCTAACCTCACCTCACCTCACCTCAACCTAACCTAACCTCAACGTTTCATAAAATATATTTCTTTCTTTTTTTTTTATCCACGTTACTAAAAATGTATTGCACTAAGACGCCTGTATACGAGCAGGAAATAGTACACAAGCGGAGGAAAAATACAGGTTGTGGTGAAGCGCATGTAAACGTTGGATGAGGGTGATGATGATGGATTTCTCTCCCCCACTTCTCTCCCCTACTGCATCTCCCGGTACAATCCCCCCCCTCCCCCCAACAGACAACACTATGTACCAGCAATGCTCCCCCACCCCCCCACACCCCCTTCAACACACAGGTGCACCTTGATTTAAGCCTGTGTTTATAGATATACAGTACAGGTGTATGTATATATATTCTGTGTGTGTGTGTGTGTGTGTATCTGAACATACTTAATATACATATAGATAAAACAGAGAGATAGAGTCTGTGTGTAGTGTGTGTGTGTGTGTGTGTGTGTGTGTGTGTGTGTGTGTCTGTCAGAGTGGATCATTCTCTGTCATACAACATAAGACTCGGGAAGTTCACCTGATGCCTACCTGCCATCAGCAACACCTGTGATAGGATTAGGTTAGGTTTCAGAGTACATTCACAGTGAGGATGACGAACAGTGACGTGGCTAGTTGTGACAGTGAAGAGGAACAGTGACTATTATAGCTATTACCATCTACCAATATTGCTTCTACCATCAATTACCACCACCACCACTACTATTATTACCTACTAGCGCCGCCACTATTATTACCTACTAGCGCCGCCACTACTATTACCTACTAGCGCCGCCACTACTATTACCTACTAGCGCCGCCACTGCTACTACCGTCACCACTACTACCACTGTAACCAACCACCATCACCAACCACTATTTTATAAATCATCTTACCTGTACTTGAATCTACCTGAACTTAACTCTACCTGTACTTGAATCTACCTGTACCTGAATCTACCTAAACTTAACTCTACCTGTAATCAGTTCTACCTGTACTTAAATCTACCTGTACTTGAATCTACCTGAACTTAACCCTACCTGTAATCAACTCTACCTGTAATTAAATCTACCTGCAATTAAATCTACCTGTAGCAACCAATAAATAAATATGGTGAAAGATAGAACAAAAGAGAGAATAAAAACACTGGAAAACCGACTACAATGTTGGTAAATATGAGGAAAAAAACACACACACACACACACACACACACACACACACACACACACACACACACACACACACACACACTGGCAGCCCCAAAAATATCAATTGCAAAGTCAGACGATAAAAATGTACAACGTTTTGAATAACAAAAACTCTCAAAAAATAAAAAGTCAACTCGTACGAAAAAATATAATAGAAAAGGGCAACT